ATTTTCCTTGGCTGTACAGGACCGTAAAAACACATGCAGGTATACATAAAAAAATTTAAACCGTATACATTACTCTCATTAAAATTCAATATGAAAGAAATTCAATATGAAAGAAGTAAAGCTGACAAAATGTACATTTACATCAAATGCGTCATTTAACCACATGCAGGAATTTAAATACTAGACCTTTGGAGTTATATACAGATACATACTCTAAGAGCAACACACATCTATGCTCTATTTTATGTTACTGTTGTACGTTGTACTGTATTGTAAAGCGCTCAGAGCCTGTGTACTTTAATCTGGGTTGAGCGTTATATAAATGTCATTTATTATTATTATTATTATTAACCGTCCGAGAAAACAAACCCTCTCGTGTCGAGGAGGACATAGCGGTTGTCGTAGACAGGTTGAGGACATCGTGGAGAGTGTCGTGGTAATAATAGTAATATATTATGTGAGGCATCGTGGTGAGATCAGGCGCTCGCCAAAGTAATGAAGAAATTTGTCAGAGATTTTCTTTTTTTGGCTTAATAGTAAAAACAATTTTTTGTGTGGATTTTACTGAAAAACATTGATCAAAGGCACAATAAATGTCAATGTTCAGTTTCCAAGGACTCTCATCAGGCTATGGAAGTTACCCAGTTTTGGCGGCCATTTTACCCTGAGATCAGAAACCCAATGTTGTATCTGCTCCATCAAAATCGTAAGATCATTCGGAGTCCGTGTCAAGACGTTCAAGGAATTGCATTCGAAAAAGCTTGGCCTGAGATGAATGTGAAACTCAAAATGTTGACGTCAAATTTTTCCAAAACAGGTTCTGAGCCGCAGATAAAACTTTGTAATTGTGAGGTAGCGGTGTGTCAGTCGCTCTTTTTTTTTTGGTAGTACTAAAGGACCGTTATCAAGTCAATGTACGTCTCTATACTCAAATGTACTCGTGTAACGCGCATGCCGACTAATTTCCTTCTCCTCTCCTCTCGTGGGTGGTTGGCGGGTGCTCTGGTGTAGTTTGCTCCTTCTTTCCTATCAGATATCTATCGTCCTTATCTCCCCTCCTTCTTTTTAATGTATGTTACTCTCTTGTAGCTCCTCTAATCTTCAGTACTTATATGACCTTCCTTATTGTGTTGCAAGTCCCGTAAAACACTACTGAAAACTAAACTTCTCCTCTCGTCTCTCTCGTCCAGGAAAAAGTTCAAGACGATTAAGTTTGGCACCAACGTGGATCTCTCGGACGAGAACAAATGGAGGCCACAGCTTCACGAGCTGACAAAGCTTCCGTCGTTCTGCCGCGTGGTGTCGGGGAACAACATGCTGAGTCACGTGGGGCACACCATTCTGGGGATGAACACCGTGCAGCTGTACATGAAGGTGCCGGGATCACGCACGCCTGGTGAGTGGACACACACACACACACACACATGCACGGCCGCACACACA